CTTATCTATTATTCTCCCATGCTTCAGCTGCTGGCTATCAACAGAAGAGGGGACCATCTTTGCATTTGTGGCACCAATGATACTCATTATGATTGTAAGTCTGGCGATGCACGATGGTCCGTCAATTATTCAATAGCTATACTCCCTTAGATCAATGCAGTGTTCCTGGCACTAGCCCTCATGGCACTGCTTCGCTCCAGAAAGAAGAAGTCAGATGCAATGGGAAAGAAGGAGTCCACTAAACATGTGCTGTAAGCCTCAGCGATATATTTATTTCAATAACAGATAGTAATGTCCATCCAAAGGTCACTCCTGAAGGCGACAGTAATTCTACTGCCTCTACTGGGACTGACCTGGCTGTTTGGTCTCCTGACTCTCAACAGCAACAGCACTGTCTTTGCCTGGCTCTTCACCATCTTCAACTCACTCCAGGTTCCATCTTACCCCTATCATCTCACATAGAGTACTCTATGGGCACTTGCAATCTGTGTGTGTTAATATGAGGGCTGGCTCTAAGGGACTGATTTTCTATGGTATTATAAACTGGTTAACTGTGAAACTCGCTTGCCTACTTATTGATCTCAAAGGTTTGCCCTCTTCCATTACCCTTTGCACACAAGCACACATGTTAGTAGTATTTTATCGGACATATATATTCCCCCCATTTTTAGGGAGCTGCAATCTTCTTTTTCCATGTCATCAAGAGCAAAATGGTTAGTTGTTTTTAAGCTGCATGCCATGTTGTTAATGACTCTCGTAATAATGAAGGTTTGGGACAAACAACGAAGGGCCATTTGAGCGCCCCGCGGCAAGGCTCGCGTAACACCGCGCAGACTCTGCCAAGTTGCTCCTCGTGCAAATCAAAAGCAAGCTAGCCAGATGGAAATGTGCACACTTACTTACAGAAGGCACTGGAGGAGGCTGAGAGTTCCTCTGCAGGTCAGCCAACTCGCCTTGTAATACGCGCGCACAGCGCATTGGTCAGCGGCTGAACTCCACCGATCCGATTGACATACAAAGCATCTTTTCGGCCGTCTAGCAATTGCCCTATGGCGAGGCAATGCGGGCCTCTGGATGGCCTGCCATCCATCTCTTCCCCCTTCCATCGATAGTCTAGTTTAATTTAATTGTTAATTTTTAGTTTTTCTTTGTTGTCTGTCACTACCTCAGAAACAACCAACTTTTCTTTGCCGTTTACTAGTCATTTTTTCTCTCAGCATTTTCCTTTTTCTTTTGCGTTGTATATTTCTTTTTTAAAAAACGTCGCTGCCTAGCGCATGCGCGCGGCTCATTGATGCATCAAATGGCGTTGTTCAGTGTAGACCATGGAAGAGCTCCATGATCTACCGTAGCGACTTGCGGCAAGAAAGAAACGATTGCTTGATGTCCATGCACACCTCCGGAAAAATTGGAGACGTTCAGTGAAAAAATCAGCGCTTCAACTTGTTCAGAAGAAGAAGAGGAAGAAGAAGAATATGATGACACGAAAATCGTGAAATCGTGTATGAGCGAATTCTCGCGTGGACAACTGAAGATGCGTACGAAGTGTTTTTGGGAACATGTATAGGTAGATATGGGCCCGTAGACTATTGTTAGTGTGTTTTGAAGGCCTAGGGAGTGATTCTCACCGAGTTTTTAGTCGTTTTGTACGCGGATCACGTGAGATTTCACTCGTGCCATCCCTATATACCGACTCTCTAATGAAAAGCACTGAAGTACAAACCCTCGATACTGCTAACGGATGGGCTGGACTATTAGCGTTCACCTTCGGTCTCCCGCTAGTACCTCGCAGAGAGTTTGACACGGGCTAGCCATGGTAGTATATAGCATGTGGGAGTCGATACACGCCCTTCGCTGTGGCTTCTTGTACCTCCAAGGTACACAGAGCAAGCGGATCAGATCGAGGTATATATAATATATACGTCTAATACACGCATGCGCACCACTAATTGGTGGGTTGGGCACGCTACCTGATCTGGGACTGTACCAGTCTCTCGCGCTCGAACGCTGTCGTTTCAGAAAAATCGCCATTTTAATTTACATGCGCTTGTGTAGCACTGAAACGTTTGGTATCGCTCTTAGGCCGCCTCGTAGCCTGTAGTGCGAGAATAGTCGGACGGACACACACACACTGTAACCCTCGCTGCGCATGCGCGCCGAGGGTTAATAACATGTCTGGAGAGCAAAAGTATTAGCAGTAGAGAGCTAAAAATGTTAAGACCTGCTGTAACGTGTATCTTTACGTGCCACAATAATGTTGGAAACCTATTCCCTTAATGTACAGACACATTCCTAAGTATAAACAGAAGCATGTCCAAATTCCTGCGCTAGCCACTTGGCTCCCAGGATGACAGATTCTGCCTTTGACTTTGAAAATTCCTCATCATTTCAGCAACCCTCTAATGTTGAAGCGCAATTGTTACTGTTTGTAGTCGTCTTACAAGAGAGATTGTTAGTTGAAGATGGTTGATGTTGCTGAGCTGAAAAAGAGTGAATTTTGGAAGAAAAAGTTTCGCAAAGCAGTTGAATCACGTGATACTGACAAGAATGGTTCTATAACCAGAAGTGATTTTGAATTGGTAGTCGAAAGCTACAAGAAGAGTGCTGGTGGTACAACAGACAAAATCGAAAAATTGTCTAAACTAATGTCGTCTTTCTGTGATAAACTTGGGCTTAGTGATAGTGTTGTGTTAAGCTATGAGGAATTTAAACAACGTTGGCAGGCTATGATGGCCCAAGATCCTGATGTGAATAATATGCTATTCAAGAGTATGTTTGTATGTCTTGATGCCAAGGGTGATGATATTATCGATATCGATGAATGGAAAATGCATAATGCTGCTATGGGTATACCACCAGGATATGCTCAGGATTCTTTTAATGCCATGGACCAAGATGGGGATGAGAAGATAACAATGGATGAGTTTGTCAATTATCATGCCGAATTTTTTTTCACCACCGAGAATAAACTAAACAGTGCCATTCTGTTTGGTCCTCTTTAGATCTGCATGTTGTATATACAACTGCATGTATTGTAATTAGTTACAAGTTGTACTCCATGTGTTTGTAGAATAGCCCATTCCGTAATGTTGCTAGTTACTATAGCTACTTTCGCTGCTGCGCTGGCCAGCGCGACGGTGCAACGCATTGAGTGATTATCGCGTGTGCATCACGACGACGGCATGTGCATCCGTTTCAGACGACAATGCTTCACCCGCCAATTATCCACGGTAACTGCGTGTTTCTCGTCAAGTTATAGACCTCGACGCCCATTCAGCAGTTTAAAAGTTGGCTACTATTTCATAGAGTTCAGAGCAGGACTTGCATAACATGGCAACTCACATTCAAGGTTAGCTATAGGTTTGGGAGCTGAAAGAAGTAAGTTAGATTATCAAGTATTCCCATGCCCGTTTGTGTTAAACGCATCTAGAAAACTGTGTTTCTGGGCGAAGTGGTATACAGAACGTTGACAATACCGTCATTAGCTACCACCCATTTCAGAGGGAGCATGCGTACTTAGTCGATCGTGTTTGGTTATGTAATCATCTAGAGGAACTGTGTTCATCATTCAGTGAGATCCTAAGCTTAGATCAGTAGCTACATAGCACCGAAGCACGATTAAAAACAGATTGTGACGTGTCTCTGTCCGTCCATCTATATAATTATCTGTTGGTCTGTTACCACGTTTTCTGTCACCATGCACACGCAACAAGCTAGGCAAAAAGTGATACCAACAACCATTAACAGTTTCGTGATTTTCTGCATTTAAGTTATGGTGTGATAAATAGTGAACAAGCCAATATGCAAATAAAAAGCACTACAGTGCAAATCCTCTGCGAACTGCGCATGCGCGGTACTGCTAATCGATGGGCTGGGCTATGGTCTCCCGCTAGTATATTATATAGCTCGCGGAGAGTCTGACACGGGCTAGCTACAGTAGTATATAGATAGCATGCGGCAGTCGATACACGCCCTTCGTTGTGACTTCTTGTGCCTTCAAGATACACAGAGCCGGTCGAATTTCCACAGCGATAAAATGGCCGACTACGCATATACAATGCTGGAAGCGCTCTAGCTTTGCAACGGAGCATTTTCAGAGAAAACCGTTCGAAATATCTGACCTTCATTCCGATCCCCGTTAATTAAGTAAGTCTTAGCGTTTGTGAGACGAACGAACATTGGACAAGTGAGATATAGAGTAACACAAACAGTATAGATCTATACCCTCGCTGCGCATGCGCGCCGAGGGTAAAATTACCACTGATATTATACCTCGACCAGAGACTACATAACCGAGGTTGTCTGTGTCACTCGTAGTAGGAAGAGAATTGGTGTTGCAAGGACATTTAGAATTTACTGAGAGTGATCTCAAACCCTGAACACTGGTCGTGTGCCATGTCCCACAGTTTAGGCCATGAAATGTCCTAGCCAAGGCACAAAGATTGTTTCACTGAGAGACCTTGGACCAAACATAGTCAGGACCGGAGCAATGGGCAGAAATATTAACAAACAAACACACACCAAATGAACATATACCCAAAGTGGTGTCTGTCTCACCTCCCCGACAACTCAACTCACCCCTTCCACCAGCGACACCCTGCAGCTCCCCAGACGCAATCTGAGACTGGGACTGTTGTATGCTGGGATTATCGCTGTATAACCTAACCTTCCTTAGCTCCCAAACATTAAAAACCCTTAACGAGGTCAAGCAGAGAACCAAATTTATCCTCCCACTGCTCACTACCCAAAATGAAGGATGCTTTCCAGAAACTATCGAGCGACTGCAAATGCTCAAATCCACCCCCAAGCTTCTCCTGCAGGGCAACTACGAAATTGCTCCTCCTGAGATTACACTATTAATACTGGACACTCCCACAACACATGACTCTCACACTTTCACACTCATAAGTCATAATCACACAACAGGTATATACTCCTTCATCTCCTCTCTCCATCTATATATCCTTACCCAGCTCCTCACTAGTCCATGTGTTTCTGACCTGAACTTAAACATTAATCTAGACCCAGCATCACTTGCCCCACGCAAACCCTGCAACCTCTTGAGTGTACCTCTTACAACTACTTTGGACACTTCGCAAAACAATGATTGGACTTAAGAAGAGACAGGGAGGAATGGCCTCGAGGCAATTCAAAATATTCTTTTGAAGATAGGGCCACTGTTAATAACATGTTCAGGTGGCACTTTCAGTCTTGGTGTCAAGAGAATGTTCTTCATTATGGAGCGAACAGGACTGGTAGGATGTAACTTTTGATTGCAGTCCTTGAAGCACTGGGGAATCAGAGAGACTCTTGGGGAGCCCAGCTGCTCGAAATGGATGGCCCATGCAGCAGACCCTTCAGTTGTACAAGTTACCACATTGCTCTCAACGAGCAACCTATACATTACCACTGGGAGATTGCTTTGGGGCATAGAAATATTATTTTAATTCTGTCCTTTATCTTAAAACATTTTATCGATGGACTCGGTGTGAGAGTCATCTTTTGTGATGTTTGAAGCATGCGCGCAGAGGGTTAGGCAGGCAGGTTTTACCTTTTTGGCATTATTAACGACAAACAATCTTTTTTGACATATGCTTTTGTTATTACAGGCTGTTTGTGTTTCAGTTAATGACATTGCAAGGGCCCTTGTCATGCATGAGAACACAGCACTTCTTCTGAAAATGTGTCACCCACACCTCAGTGAAACTAAAATGATGTCGGATTATGAACACAAGAAACTTTTTATTGCAAGCGCAACATAAAAATTTGTTCTGAAGCTTGGCATAAAAATGATGATGTCATATGGCTGCTTCCCTATGATGAGCTAACTACTAGCTTGCCCTCTAGCTACCGTAATAGGTAGCTATAAGCAGCGCTCAATGACACGGAATTGCTGTAGCTAGCTATGGCATCAGACTGTAAATGAATCCGAAAAGCGCTAAAGTGCAAACCCTCGGCGAACTGCGCATGCTAATTGATAGGCTGGGCTTTTGTACTCGTGGTCACCCTCTATATAGTAGCTCGCGGGGAGTCTGACACAGGCTAGCTACAGTAGTATGTAGCATGCGGGAGTCGATACATGCCATTCGTTGTGACTTCCTGAGCCCCCAAGGTACACAGAACGAGCGGATCAGGTCGCGGTAAGCCCAGTGCCTTTTTCGCTTGTTAGCATAATTATCTCTCGAACGCAGTCGTTTCAGGAAAATCGCGCTTTTCTTTTCAAGCTCGCGTAGGTCTGAAGCCGCTGGCATCGCTAATAGGCCGCCTCGTAGCCTGTATATAGTGCCAGAATAAGCGTCGCGACACACACGCGCAGACACACACACGCAGACACACACACGCAGACAAACCAACCCTCGCTGCGCATGCGCGCCGAGGGTATTGATACTGACAGCATGAAGCGTTGTTATTACGCTGTAGGGCAAGCATGCATGCGCACTGCGAGCAGGTTGTTAATAAAAACTCGCCGGACTCAGTTAAAGCGCGTAAGTTAGGGACAGCTAAGGATGCGAAGGTTTGTGGTGACAACCCTTTTGGTGCTACTAATGGCACAAATTAGCTTGTCATGCGACGAGAATGATTGCGTGTGGGGAGTATGCAGTCAGCGAGCTGCAGGCAACGGCAGCGAGTGTGTCTGCCAGGAAGGCTACCAGGGAGAAAAATGCGACATTCCCTCACTCAGACACACCAGGAATGCTGTCCCAGGTAATAATTTATCTATGTGCCACTGCATATTTGCTGTAGCTAGTATTACACGGATAATTATGAAACGCGTATCTAGCTGAGCTATAATTATAGGTTCTGAATGTATATGCACGCGCAAAATGGACAGCGTCCTTTGGAGGTCTCAACAAACTTGTAGAGAATCAGCCGGACAAATCGGATGCAAAATATTCCACTCACTCCACAGTGCACAAAACTAGTACATCGAGCAAATGAATGCTTGGTTCATCAACGATGCCGCAAGGCTAAGTCAAAGCTAACGTATCCACCAATAATACACTTGTGACGGCACGCAGTGGATCCTTCGTCGAGCTAGAAGAAGAAACGCAGCTAGGTCGAGAGACTCATACAGCACGAGGCGCAGCTGGGTGCTGTAGCAGAGACAGCGAATCACTTCGTCGTTCCTGCAGCCCGGAGAGCCACGTCGCTTAGTCTTAGAGCGTCGGTAGACGCTCTATATAGGGATGGCACATGCAGGTGAAATTTCACGTGATCCGCATACAAAACGCCACAAAACTCGACGAGAATGACTCGCTAGGCCTTCAAAACACACTAGCAATAGTCTACGGGCCCTCATCTAGCTATACATGTACCCAAAGACCTCATTCGTACCTTCAGTCGAGAATTCGCTCATTCGAGATTACTTCTTCCTTACCGGTACAAATTTGAAACGTTGATGTTTTTACTGAACGTCTCCAAATTCGCCAGAGGTGTGCAGAGACATCAAGCGATCGATTCTTTTTTGCCGTAAGTCACCACGTTAGATCGTGGAGCTCTTCCATGGTCGACGCTAACTAGCATCTGTGAGCCGCATGCGCCGAGCAGGGGCGTTGTCCAATGCGTCGCGCACGCATTATCAGGCGGGACTGGCCTGCATTTGCACGAGGAGCGACAGACTTGGCCGAGTCTGCGCGGTGTTACGTGAGCCTTGTCTGACGCACAAATGGGCCTTTATTCTTTGTCTCCCACCATGTGCTAATTACTCGTTGTTGAAGACAATACGGAATATCTACCCCCTGTTTCAGCCCATTTTGGTTACAGCATCATGAACATCACAGTGACTGTATAATTATAATAGTGTTGTCATAAGCAGTTAAAAATAATAATGAAAACAAGTGGAAAAATCATTTATTCAGAATAAATGGAATACAGGGATGGCTTGAACAATAAATAAGCAATAAAACAAAGATAATAGGGATGGTGTCAAGTAGCTTTGTGCATCTTTGCTGTGTAATGACCCCTTGTTTCTTCATTTCTGGTGCTTCAAGCCATCCCTATACCCCTTCATTTTGAATAAATGATTTTTGACTTGTATTTTATTAGGCATCACGTCAGAGCTAGGGTGACCACAACGACAATATTACCAACTGCTCACGTGCCTAGCAAACTGCTAAACCACTTGTATATACGTACGTCAAGCGGAAGAACAAACACACTTACGTTCCCTAGTAGCTAGCTCTCTCCTTTTTACTCTTTGCATCATGGAATAGCAAGAACAACATTGATGCTTGTTCAAGAAAAACTAGTAAGGGGTGCTAGTTACATTTACTTTCACTTGTCATGTCTAGTATACGCTGTAAAATATGGCGTCCCGTGACAACTGGTATTTGCACTTCAGACGCTATGTATTCCCAGAATGTATACAGGCCCTTAAGGGCAAGTCCTGGAAACAAGACTACCGCTTAGATAATCTTTCGGAATGCACTGTCTGTAGAAAACGTCAGACTATAGGGTACTGAGCCAGATCAATTATTTTTCCGACGAAAACATATTTGTGGGTGGTAGCTAGCTATAATGTAATCATTATCTGAGCTTGTGTAGCTAGTGCAAAAATGGTGCACTGGTGCGTTTGGACATGAATTGATGTATTTGATCACTTTGACTCTGCATACAATGTGGGACATTCATTACATTAGCAATCCAAGCACACTCCGTATAGTAGCCATTTTTTATATGTGTGGCGCCACTAGCCTTGCGCGTGGCAACGTTCATCTCTTTCTTTGAATCTGACTGAAAATCTGATCTTTTTCCACGTGCACACACTTTTTATACGAATGACAAGGTTACGTAATGAGTCATGAATAAGTAAACAGTCTGCATATTATAGTGTACGGATGCTACATATGAAACTTTCTTGATCTCCTACATCAGAAATGTTAGACCTCATATCCTTGTTGATATTCAGGGGTTAACCTTTCCTTTGCAAATGGGACATCATATTCAGTGGATGAAGGAAAGTGGGCTCATGTGTGCATCAATGCCACTGAAAATATTTTTGAACATGTCAATACCATTAGCTTTACTGCAGAAGTAATAAATGGTACTGCTCAGAGAGGATCAGGTAATAGCTAAAATCACTACGTTTTATCTTTAGTGTTTTTGATAATCTGCTAGACTATGCGTGGGTGAACTACACACATGTCATTAAGGCTAAAGATGATCCAATGTGCCTGGATTTTATTTCAATACTTGCGTTCGATGACTCTCTGGTTGAGGCAGACGAAACATACAGCATCTCACTGAGCAGCAACAGCAGCATTGTTAATATTGATGAACCTATTATGTGGATATCCATCAGAGACAATGACGGTAAACATTATACAGAAGCCATGTAGTGATAAACCCTTTTTCGTTTCTGTGCAGTCCTTCACATATGGTTCCGGCCTTATTCTAATGACGTGGCCAATGAGGATGTTGGATCTGTCTCCCTCTGTGTGGAAGCTGAAGGAGAGCTAAGTGGAGTGGTGGCAACATTCAATGTACAAACTTCACAAGGTTTTGAAACAGCAGCTGAGTTCGAAGGTGAATTGCTCATTTTTCGCAACGATGATTAATAACCAGCCTCGTGAAATTATTTTCAGATTTTATGCTTGTGAATTCAGAGTACAGCATATATCCAAATTCATCAATGGAGGATTGTGTAGTTAAGGTAGAGATTCTGATTTTGATGACTCTATACCAGAACTCCGCGAGCGTATCTATGTGGAACTGGAATCAGTAGACCCCTTGGTCAGTATTGCTACAAACAGACGATCTTACGTACACATTGACATTGAAGATAATGACAGTGAGTTAAGCGATCTGTAGTATTGCGACCATTTCGCTGACACTGTCTTCCTTTTCAGAGCTAATGATTGGGTTTGCTGAAGCAAGTTACACCTTCTACGAAGACTCTTCTGCTGCTGTAATAATATTGTTTGATACTCTCCCAGAGAATTTAACCATTCGTTACAATGTGACTCAAGCTAGTGAAACCGCCACTGGTAAGTTCACAAAAACTACCATTGCAAACAAAATTTGTGTTTTAACGTACTCCACTGATTATGATAAGGCATAATTATATTAATTTTTTAGAAGGTGTGGACTACCGTGCAGAGAATGTGACACTGAGTATAACAGAAAATAGCAATTATACTTTCCACCAGTTTTACGTTGAGCTTTATGATGATTATATTTTGGAGGGAAGCGAAAGCTTCTCCCTTCATCTCTCCTCATCAGACAGTAAGGTCATACTGGGTGCAAATGAAACAGTGATTACAATCATTGATCTGGATCAACGTGAGTAACACCTAACTATACCTTCAGAACTTATTAAACATCTGCACCACAGAAATCACTCATGTTTCTCGGTAATTTTCACACAACAGGAGTGGACATAGAATTTCAGCAGTCAGAATACACTTTCAGTGAGAAAGACGGTGTTGGGGAAGTATGCCTCATTACTTCCCATGGAACTACCTACGACTTCAGTGTTACCTTGAGAAGCGAGTTGTACCTAGATCATTCAGCACAAGGTCAACCCAATCTTGTGTACAAAATGTTAATGAATCTCAATTACTGTTTCTTTGGTATATGTACGCAGCTGGAGTTGATTTCAACATCTCTGACTTGTTTTTAACACTGGAACCTGGAGACAGCATTGTCTGCATGAATGTAACACTGCTCGAGGACACGCTGGTTGAAGGAAATGAGTGGGTGGAGCTGAGTTTCCAAACTATTGACCCCCACATCATCCTCAATGAATACGAATATGAAATTTACACGAGGATTACTATTAAAGACAGTACTGGTATGTGTTGTCATAGCCGTGATAAAATAGTATACAAGTTAATTGTTAATGTTCTCTGCAGTGTTTGAGATGCAGTTTGAGGACTCATCTACACAGTCAGTGAGAGAGCAGGGAGTCTGGATATTTGCGTGGAGAGCTTGAATACTTCTGAAATAGCTCCTGATCTAACAATTCCGCTCTCACTGGTGGAGTTGTCAGATGAAGATTTAGGTATTTATCCATGCTTGTGATAAAGTCCATTAACAACACATAATAATATAGAGTGTTGGTTAGCATAACTGCCTGTAGCATGGGTATTGCTCTCATAGAAGGAATTTGGATACTGAGTGAGGTGTCTCTACAAGCTTAGTCTACAAGGGTTTGATGAACCAGGTTACTAAGTCTACAAGTAGAGATTAATTCTTTGGTGTGGTAGAGAACTCGAAGCAATTCTATGTCTCACGTTTTTATACGGAGGTGGATTTTAGAAGTTTATTGTCAGCTCCACAGTGTGGGAGAGTTTTTAAACCTGTATATTGGACGTAAATATGTGCACATTATGGCAACATAAAATTTAGGTCGAATTTTACCTTTAGTTTCCCATTAATTTGGTAAAAACAATCAGCTATGTAGCTACCACTGTTCTTCCATTTTTTACCAATATTCAGAAGCACAGTTCTAGCCTAGTCTAATTTGAATCACCCAACTGATAACATGCTATATTGTCAGGTGGAATTGCTTTTGAGATTCCGATGGGGGTGGACTTTCGCCCTAACTCTTTTCGGGCTTGTTTCACTATCACTATCATCAATGATATCACTACAAGCGATGATCGAACAACCGTTCTGGGTGTGGCGACTGAGAACATGGAGTTCATGGTGACAAATACTACAACCAATATCACATTTCTAGGTAAACAAGGTGTATACACATTCAATCACATGGCAGAAAACTCAACTCATACACATTAGCACATACAGAACAGAGAGAGAGAGGGAGAAAGAGAGAGAGAGAGAGAAAGAGAGAGAGGGGGGGAGTTGGATTGTATACAACCCAGACTCACTTTGCAGAGCCAGAGATGCAAACAATTAAGAGTTGCTGATGACCATCACTAGCAAACATTGTGTGTGCCTCTGGATGTCTGTGATTGCAATGGCTGCCTGTAACAGATGCCATAATTTGCATGTGCACTCTATATACCAGTTCAGTATACTACAAAGGGTGAACAATGATGTCTATGACTCTTTAACTCTACTGTTGTGTGCAGATCACATGCCTCCAAGACTTTGGGTAACATCACCAACTCCATTACTTGGAGAAAACTATGAGGCCACATGTACACTTGCGGTGAAATCAGAGGAAGATCTCACCGTGGAGGCCATGCAGTGGTTGCAATTGACCGGTAAGTGTCAAGTACTCAAGATGCAATATTTAATGTGTGCTATTCTACACACAACAGGTGAGCCAGTGGACACGACTGGGAATGTATCAGATGGACAACTCACATTCTCCAGCACCACTGCAAATCGTTCCCTCAGTATCTTGGGTCTGACCACATCACATGCTGGGCAATATCTGTGCCGAGCTTCCCTAGCTGGACAAGTACCACTGGAGGACACTTTAAACATCACATTCAAGTGTAAGCATAACCTTTGGCTATAACCGATGTCTCTTTATTCCTCTTTCCTCAGTGCCGCCTCCAAGTAGAGTTTTTATTGTTCAGTCTCCTGCTGCTGTAAATGTGATGGCAGGAGATTCGGTAACCCTGAGATGTATTTCAGTACCACCCATCTCCATCACTACCCCTGTCCTGGTGACTGCTCAGTGGACATTGGGCAATGGGCAAGATATTCCTGGGTCAACTCGCATTCGCATCAGTCAACCCTATGGAAACACTTCGGAACTAACAATCAATCCTGTACTAGAGACAGATGCTGGACTGTATGTCTGCAAAACATACTATGAGTCGGTTTCAAACTACCTCACAAGTTCATTTAACTCCACACAAGATTCCCATCAGTTAACAGTTGGTATGTAGCTATGTGAACTTTCTTCTATCGTTGACGTCAACACGTGTACGCATATATACAGCTCCATTCATTAATGAATATGACGATAAGGTTGTGACGAGGAGAAACAGGAATGTGACAATCTCCTGCTTTCCAAGAAATCCTCTAGCTCCTGTCCTCTGGAAACTGGAGTGAGTTATAGATGCTTAGAATTACTGAAAATAATTTTACTGATTGCAGAGCCATTTGCGAGGCTGATAATGAACCATTGCTACATGAGTACCCTCAATACTTCTTCTTTCACCCACCATCTCTGAGACACACAGTCACCTTCAATGTCGAAACTGTTACTCGGTCATTCCTTGTCACATCTAGCCTTCATTTCAACTGTGGGCTTGTTGATGCCAACAATGACAGAAATATTCTAAGTTCTAGGGACATCACTTTATATGTCCAAGAAGGTAGGTACACATTTTTTGATGATAATTATGTTCTTAGTGTGATATCCCCCAACCAACAGAAACAATACAACTGAAGCACACACTCTCACTACTGAAAATCATCAACAACACAATAATCAATGTACCAGGAGATGAAGATGAGAAGGGAGGGTCTCTAGAGCCAGACATACTCTCTATTGACTGTATTGCCAGTCAGGGCGACCACCAGCCATTCTGGACCACCTCTAACCCTTTGGTTGGTGGCAACCAAACCATCATACCTTCTCTTGGTCCTGATAATAGAACAGAGAGTGTGTCAGCCTATGAGGCTAGGTTGACATTGGTACCCTCCCTTCCAGAGTATGAAGGCGTATACACCTGCCGTTCAGAGCTAAGCAACAATTTTGTACAGATATCCATCAAATCTAGTAAGTACTCAGTTTTACTGCTGTACAAGTAATGCACATGTGCTGTATAATATTACACAATTGAATGTGCTCACTGACTTTTTCTAGGCAATCCATATGTGGAAGCAATAAGTGCACATACTCTTTCCGTGGTTGAAGACAATTCGGTGACGATGGAGTTCAATGTAGCGGTGGACAGCAATGGACACACGTGGAAGGATCCACATTTTGTATTCACCTCACCACTCACGGATTTACCCAGAGAACTGAATTTCACGGCCTGTTCTCCTGATTTTCCACAGCACTATTGCCACACTATTGAGAGCGTGGATCGCACACACGAGGGAGTCTACACCGCTACTGCTGCAAGTATGCTATTAACAATAATGTTTTAGCTATAATATAAATTGATGTAATATCGACAGGTCAGAGCGGGAATTCTGCTACAACATCAGTCACTATTAACGTCACACGTAAGAATCATTCAGAGGTAGCTATAATTATAACTTGAAGGTTAACTCAAAAACAGGAAGGTGTTCAGTGGAAGTCCATAGTGGTATACAGTGGCCATGGACACTGGAAGACACCACAGTCTCACGACCATGTAGTGAGGCTGGGTCCATGTTCCGTGCTGGACCCAAGGCCTCAAGGAGATGTAATAACCAGGGAGAGTGGGAGGAGGCAGATCTGACCTCATGTACCATAGCTGAAATAGAAGACCCGTTTGTACTTGTTTGGTTTGTGATTGATGCTGACACCCATGCAGGCGATCAAAACCAAGATTTTATTGAGAGTGTGAGTCACTTTAACACATGAGCTTACAAATCAAACACCACAGTGTCCGCTTGTATGGCCATCCATTTCACATTTCACTCTCAGATGAAGTCAGTTCTGAAATTGAATGGAGTGGCTTTCACACAAGTGAATCTCAGCTCAGTGTACATAGCCAGTGTAGCTCTCACATTCCAAGTGGATCTAGTGGAGGAAAACCAGAGCAGTAGTATCTCTCAGTTGAACTCTTTTGTGAGCAGCTCAAACTTCTCTCATTTCAGCAGCTACTCTGTCCTAGGAAATGGGAGCCTTGGAGGGTCTGTGGAAATTACACAAGCAGGTATGGCAAAACCCTATGCAATTGGAGGTGGAGGTGGGGGCCCTGTTTTGTAGGGAGGACCTGCAATAAATAGAGCAACCTTTGATTTGTGCATTCTCTGCTAAGATTCTGTTCCACAGACACTTGCATGTGTACTCCGCGTCTTGGAAGCTCACTTCAGCTCTGTAGTGGAGCTGCAGTCAGTCCATGTGACTGTAGTGGTGATAGATGCAATGTAAGTCTCATGGACATTTCTTGATAGTAATTGCCACACTTTTTTCAGTGTCAGGCACCATTTGTTGGTAATGGAACGAGCTGCACTTTAGACTCTGATTCAGATGGTTATCCAGACAAGGCACTGGAGTCTACTTCATGTGGTGATAATCCCTCACACTCCTACTGCACTGCAGTGAGCTAATGTCTACGTACACATAATTTAGCCACCATTACATTCTGTTTTAATGTGTTAGGATGCATGTCCAGGGATCTCCAATCCTGAACAAGATCCGCTTGCATGTCAACGTAACACACCACCAGGTAAAGTTCATATCTTACACGATTCTCATCAATGTTTTACCCCAAACAACCACAGGCTTTAAAGGTTGTCCATATGGTCAAGATGAAGTATGGGGTATCACATGGCCGAATGCAAGAGCAGACACAGTCAATACCCAACCCTGCCCTGGAGGAGTGGACACTATAGGTATGTTTCAACCGTGCCCTTTTTTTGTGGTGATTTTCACTTCCTCCATTCTATAGGAAGTGCTACTAGAGTGTGCTACTATGATGGGATATGGGGGGAAGTTGATGTATTTTCATGCCAGTCACGAGCAATAGTTCTTGTATTACAAGAGGTAAAAAGGCATAAAACTGGACTCGCATGTATATATAATATGCAGTGGGATCTGAGATTATTCGCAATTTTTCACTGTAAATACATCTCTCTTGCTCATTACTCTATTTTTCTCCTACAGGCTAGAGATCGTCTGCCTGGTGCCAATGAGGTGATAGAAGAGGTGACTCCAGAGTTGTTGGAGAGTGCGGCAGTGGTCTCAGAGCAGCTGGCGATGGCCACTGACATGGCAGAGGGACGTGGATTACTCCCTCTTGACCTGGAGGCCACCAATGACATAGTGGCACAAGTGGGATACAATATTCTAGCTACATAGTTGCAATTGCATGCATAATATTCTCCTTCCTTTCAGATACTCAATGTTCTTGAGAGAAGTGTGGAGCAAGGACTAAATGACATCCCTGGATACGTAAGTCTACCAAACCTTTTGAAAACTATGGCATTGACTGAAATTATACCTAGCAAAAACCCTCCCACGGACTAGCTCAAATTACAAACATGTTTTGTGAGCTCCATATCCTTATCTTTATCGTTTTATGCTTGATGGTTGTGCATTATAAGATAGTGATAAACGCACTACGGACAATGCACTCATTCTACACACACTTAATTTTCGAACAGAAGCTGATGATGGACGTGTTCGAGAACCTTTTGAACGAGGCAAACAGGGAGGGTTGGTCGCAGCTCCAGACAAGGGGCTCTGGGAGCCAGACTCTGCTGTACACGGCAGAGAGATATGGGAGATACCTTGGCAGTCTACTCAACGAGACTAATGGACCGTTGTTACTGCTGAGAGAAAATATTGGTGAAAGTCCAAAGGAAGAGATTACAGTTATTGCTAGTATAAAACGGGCAGGGTAGGATTTGATAGACTGTAACTTTGAACACAAACTATATCTCACTATGACCTTTGGCTTTTGTATGCTGTTGCAGTTATAGTAGCTGAAGTGGTGGACACGTCCAAAGGATCAGATGTGGTGTTTCCCGCTACTCCCAATCAACTGGGTAACTTTTCGTCAATCAAGAAAGTCCAACTCACAATCCCTTCAGAGTCTTTCACCAGACTGACCCCTGGCACAAGTAGGCGGAGACTACATCACTAATCTTACTACCACCAAGTGCTGTTATGCTGTTGTCTTGCAGAGCTTACACTGGTTCACATAATCTTCAGAAATATTGAAGATTTCTTGCCAACCGACACTGCAGAGCTCAAGTACTATTATACAATTGTACATTGTTTAATGATTTCGTGATTTGTGATCAAACACCTACACAGCAACAGTAGGGCAGAATCTCTGGTGTTGTCATCTCAGTTGGGTTCACTGGGTGACCAAGAAGAGATCCCAGATGACCTGTTCAGGGAATATCCCGTCACTCTTAACTTTTCATTCCCAACAGTATGTCAACACAGAACAGGTTCCTTTGAACCACAGACCATTGAACACTTCATAGTATGTAGCTAACTCAGATCCTTTCTCCCTATATTTGCAGAGTTCAGATAGATCCAACCTGTATGTTGGAGTTTTCTGGAATTTTTCTGACCCGTAAGAATATCATTCTCTGTAGCTAAGTACTGATTCACAAGAACTCTGGCAGTGTTGGGGATGGTGGGTGGAGTTCAGAGGGGATCCAGGTCATTAGTAATGTAACGAGGACGAATGTTACAACAGTTTTGTGTAACTCCACTCACCTCACGAGTTTTGCTGTCCTGGTTGACGTGGCTGGAGGACTACAGGTAAAGGGTACATATGGACTTTCATGTATTAGTTACCTTTTGTAAATAATCAGAAAATATTGCTCCTTTTCCTCAGGATATTCCAATGAAAGAGCGACTTGCACTTAAGTTTGTCTCCTACATTGGCTGCATCATCTCCTCTGTCTGTCTCTCCATTACTGTGATATTCTACCTGGCCATGAGGTGAGTGAAACAAGCACACCTATCTCTCTATTCAACATACTGCTATCCAATATGTGATTCTTTTAAATGAGAGGACATCCTGTAATAATCGCTCATGTATTAATTGCACAGGAAGAAGCTTTTCTCGACTGTTCACTACTTTATCCACCTCAACCTCTCAATATGTCTACTACTGGGATATGTGGTCTTTATGTTTGGGATTGAACTGGGCAATGCTAGCAAAGTATGTTCTGCACATTATAGTTCCATCTGTCACACCATATCTGTCTTTTTGGCTTCTTTAATAAAGGAAAGTTGTGGGCTAGTGGCAGCACTGTTGCAGTACCTGTTCCTGTCTGCCTTCTGCTGGATGATGTGTGAGGGGATCATGCTCTACCTCATGTTGGTGGTGGTCTTCAGTAGGTTCATCAACAAGTGGTGGTTCTTCATGATTCTAGGATATTGTGAGTCAATACTATACGACAAAATTTACTCTTTAGTGGTAAGACATTATTTAATTCCAGTGGGAAACCGCTACTTTCGTGCCTTTAAAAAAAAAACTATTAGTGACACAACATAGACTCAATCTATTACCAGTGTGCCACTAATCCACTAATCTCTCAAGTATTACTACACTGTGTAATTGAATGCCAACACGACTACTAGCAACTGAATGTGAGGTACAGTGCAACCATTAATAATCAATCTTTTTAGGTACCCCCCTGGTGTTTGTGGTGTCAGGGCTTGTATCGCGTGCCGAGCACTACGGAGTACGTGGTGAAGATGGAGAGCTTGCCTTGTGAGTTGCAGACCAAACTTCAATCTAAGCAGATTATGTAAACAGCAGGGATTTGTAATCCAGATTAGTATCTGGCCTGTAATCCGCCATGTGAAAACACAGCTTATGTATTATTCCCCCATGCTTCAGCTGCTGGCTATCAACAGAAGAGGGGACCATCTTTGCATTTGTGGCACCAATGATACTCATTATGATTGTAAGTCAGGCGATGCATGATAGTCCGTATAATTAGCTATACTCCCTTAGATCAATGCAGTGTTCCTGGCACTAGCCCTCATGGCACTGCTACGCACCAGAAAGAAGAAGTCAGATGCAATAGGAAAGAAGGAGTCCACTAAGCATGTGCTGTAAGCCTCAGCGATATCAATAACAGATAGCAATGTCCAAATATACCATGTCTCCAAAGGTCACTCTTGAAGGCGACAATGATCCTGCTACCTCTACTGGGACTGACCTGGCTGTTTGGTCTCCTGACTCTCAACAGCAACAGCACCATCTTTGCCTGGCTCTTCACCATCTTCAACTCACTCCAGGTTCCATCTTACCCCTATCATCTCACATAGCTACCGTACTCTATGAACACTTGCAAACTGTGTGTGTTAATATGAGGGTTGGCTCCAACACAGTTTTAAGGGACTGATTTTCTATGGCTTTTTAAGATTGTAAACTGAAAAAGCACTGAGATTCTCACTTGCTTGCCTACTTATTGATCTCAAAGGTTTGCCCTCTTCCATTACTCTTTGCACACAAGCACACATCTTAGTATAATAGTATTTTATCGGCCATATTTCCCCCCCATTTTTAGGGAGCTGCAATCTTCTTTTTCCATGTCATCAAGAGCAAAACGGTTAGTTGTTTCTAAGCTGCATGCCATGTTGTTAATGACTCTTGTAACAATGAAGGTTTGGGACAAGATATCTCTAACTCTTTCTTATGTCAAGAAGAACATCATGCAGCTCTCCTCCAAATACAATGTAGTAAGTACGATCCTAAACAGTATGGTGCAGTGGTTCATAATCGTATACCCAGTCCATGTCCACTGAAATTCTAAAATAAGAAGGAAATCGTTCTAAAATACATAGGTAATGTTTGGCTTATATAATTGTCCTTGCCGCAATGTATGAGTAGCAATCACCTGGGCGTAATTATCCCTGCAATGTATGAGTAGTGGGCATAATTACCCCCTCCCCACTTGCTGTGGTTTATTGTACACACAGTCAACTTCTTACTCTGGAACTGAGGGTCAGAGTTCAACTGGAACCCTAGGAACACTGCCGCGCAAGATATCCAACGAAAAAGAAAGTACGTGTCCACCATAATAATGTTGTTCAGTCTGTTAGGATGACAGTCTACAGCTTGTGTGCCATGTTTGTCAGTACCCAACATATATGGCCATCCTCATACACAGAATATGAGCTGGGTGTGAAGGAGTTCCAGCCAATGAGTGAGATCAATGCAGAGAGTGGGACTATGGATATTGAGAAGAGAGACCTGGAGGACACATCTGAGGCAGAGGAACCAGGGAGGGATGGCAGCGGTGATATGGTTACTCAACCAGATGAAGATGAAGCCTCACCAGCGAATACTACACAAATGTGACCCAATGAGACTTTGCGTGTGCCTTTATTCAACTAGAGTTATGTAGAGTTTAGTTTTAGCTTTGAACCTTGTAGAAAAATCATTGAGTGAGCAAACTACTTAGCTGTAATAAGTACAGTAGTATAGCTATACACATGTATACACATAATATATGTACAAACTCTCTGCCAGTGAGATACTGATTGCCAACTCGGCGTGCGTGGCGGGCAACATTGTCTGCTCGCCTCCTGTGTACTGATATGTCATCTTTCACTCGGGGTTCACTTCAGTCCTCGTCAACAGTTACTTGCTGTTATTGCACCATACGTTTAGTAGTAGTCAAAATATGACCGTGCGGCGTTTCCACTAACTTGTGTTAGAACTAGTGGCTACCGTGATCTGCAGTTCCAGCCCTTGTAGAATTAGCTAGCTATATCATTGGTTGCTCTTGGGGGAAGAAATGCAAGGTAGTTATAGGGCTATATACTGGTGTTCTGCTTGCAACAAACAGACCACACTGTGTGTAGGACTCAGTGTGTGCATTTAGTGTGATGCTTCATTGCATCCATTTTTTTAAAATTCACAATGACATGTATACATGGTTGGAGAGCAAGTACAAAAGTATTGGCTGTAGAGAGTTAAATATGTTAGGACCTGCTTACGTGTATATTTACGTGCCACAATAATGTTGGAAACCTATTCCCTTAATGTCCACACACATTCCCTAAGTAAAAACAGAAGCTTGTCCAAATTCCTGCATTAGCCACTTGGCTCAGGATGACAGACTTTGCCTTTGACTTATTTATGGGGGAAATTCCTCAGCATTTCAGCAACCCTGCTTAGCTAATATTGAAGCGCATTTCTTACTGTTTGTAGTTGTCTTACAAGAGAGATTGTTAGTTGAAGATGGTTGATATTGTTGAGCTAAAAAAGAGTGAATTTTGGAAGAAAAAGTTTCGCAGAGCAGTTGAATCACGTGATGCTGACAAGAATGGTTCTATAACCAGAAGTGATTTTGAATTAGTAGTCGAACGCTACAAGAAGAGTGCTGGTGGTACAACAGACAAAATCGAAAAATTGTCTAAAGCAATGTCGACTTTATGTGATGAAGTTGGGCTTGGTGATGGCGTTGTGTTAAGCTATGAGGAATTTGAACAACGTTGGCAGGCTACGATGGCCCAAGATCCTGATATTAATAATATTCTATTCAAGACTATGTTTGTATGTCTTGATGTCAATGGTGATGATATTATCGACATCAATGAATGGAAAATGCATAATGCTGCTATGGGTATATCACCAGGATATGCTCAGGATTCTTTTAATGCCATGGACCAAGATGGGGATGGGAAGATAACAATGGATGAATTTGTCAATTATCATGCCGAATTTTTTTTCACCACCGAGAATAAACTGAACAGTGCCATTCTGTATGGTCCCCTTTAGATCTATGTTGTATAATATACAACTGCATGTATTGTAATTAGTTACAAGTTGTACTCCATGTGTTTGTAGAATAGTCCATTCCGTAATGTTGCTAGTTAACTATAGCAACGCATCGAGCGATTATCGCACGTGCATCACAACGACGGCATGTGCATCCGTTTCAGACGACAATGCTTCACTCGCCAATTTTCCACGGTAGCTAACTTCGTGTTTCTTGTCAAGCTATAGACCTCGACGCCCATTCAGTAGTTTAATGGTCAGGAAAGTTGGCTGTTTTAATTTAGGCACCAGGCACCCTCATAGAGTTCAGAGTAGGACTTGCATAACATATAAACATATTATAGCAACTCACATTCAAGGTTAGCTATAGGTTTAGGTTATCAAGTAATTTCCCATGCGCGTTTGTGTTAAATCAAATGCATCTGGCAACAGCAAACCAAGACTCTGAGCAGCATCTCTACTCTCAAACCCCCTCCCTCCCTCCCTCCCTCCCTCCCTCCCATCTCTTCAGTCTATCTGACTTATATGAAGAGGGGACCGTTTGTTTGCACTGTGCAAAGGTTGATTTATGCACAGAAAGGTCACACACACACACACACACACACACACACACAATTCTCTGTACGTATGTTTGTGCGTTTCGCACCACACGCACCACAGATGTTGTAGGGGCGGAGGGGATTGGTGGGCCCTTAGAAACTGTTCTCTTTGATAGCCCTGGCGTGTGTGTCTATATGTGCGTTTCGCACGTCGCGACTGCATTCATCAGGTCCAGTCAAACAATTCCTCACTCCTTTCTATAATAGGCCGAGAATAGTTAGCCCTCCTACATAGGCTACAGTTGTGCAGGTGGTGTGATTTTTCATCTCTATCTAGGCCTTATTTGTCATCCAAGGGCAAAGAGAATACTAAAGATCTTTTAGTTTTTGTATGCCTTAAAAGCTGTTAACATGACTAGAGAAACTCATGATTACACACAGTCAAACACTCATTGATTATAGACCCTCGGCGGGCGCGCTTCGCATTTTTACAAAAAGGTTTCGGTAGCTTCCTCGACACTGCGTAGGATGATTTGTATAATACTGTGAACCCAACACCCAGGCAGAAGAAGAGCTCGTGGAAGGTGTCATAATGCTTCGAAAGTATTAGCTATTAGCACGCGCGGCGTCCAAAAGTGGGCGTTGCCGCTAGAAATATTCGCGTGTAGGAACAACGCAAAATCGATCCAACGCAAGAGCGATCAAAAAAGGAATGTGATTTTGAGCCAATATACATCCGGTTAGTAGGTACGTTTCCGCTGAAATTGCAGAGAACATGTTGTGCTTGCGTCTGTGCTATATACCATCAACTTCTTCCTCTTTTTCAGTGAGCTGCTATATAAGCGCATGCTGCTAACTAACTAGTAATTAGCGCGCGCCGTTCTATAACCACGCGCGCCGCAATACAAAATGGGCGGGTCGGATCGCTCTTGCGTTGGATCGCTTTTGCGTTCCAACACGGGCGCAAAGCTAAGCGCGCCTAAACCACCCTTATAGATCCGCTACTGCCTCGAGCGGGTCCACTAGCTCTGTGTATCTCCCGCAGGCTATCTAGCTAGCCCGTGTCAGACCACAGTGTAATAATTATACTAATAGTCCCGCCAAAGATTAACGGTACCGCGCATGCGCAGTTCGCCGAGGGTTTGCACTTCAGTGCTTTCACATTTATATATGTAGCCTGTATGTACAGACGTAAGTAAACATAAGGAGCATTTCCACATTCCTGTATTAGCTATATACTTGGCTCAGGATCACAGATTCTGCCTTTGACTTCAATCTTTAGAGGGCAAACTTCTAAGTTCCTCATTTCAACCCTCTGCTTAGCTAATGTTGAAGCGCATTTCCTATATACCATTTGTAGTCGTCTTAGAAGAGAGATTTAGTTGAAGATGGTTGATGTTGTTGAGCTGAAAAGGAAGATTCGCAGAGCAGTTGAAACACGTGATACTGACAAGAATGGTTCTATAACCAGAAGTGACTTTGAACTTTGAATTGGTAGTCGAACGCTACAGGAAGAGTGCTGGTGGTACAACAGATAAAAACAAAGCACTGTCAGATATAATGATTCCTTTCTGTAATGAAATTGGGCTGGTTGATGCTAGTGTGGAGTTGAGCTATGAAGAGTTGAAAGACGCTGGATGGCTCTAAAAAATTCTGTTAACTCATTCAAGATTATGTTTGAGTGCCTCGATGCCAATGGAGATAACTTCATTGATCTAAACGAATGGAAAACACCCGGACATAACTCGCTATTCAGAAACAAGAGAAAGATTCGGATATATTTCACTTGATTAGGTAGGCATAGGGGGAGGGAGGGGATGAAGGAGTGCCTGTTGTGTGATGATGAGTGTGAAAGTGTGAGTCATGTGTTGTGGGAGTGTCCAGCATATAGTAGTCTTAGGAGCAATTTCTTAGTTGCCGTGCAGGAGAAGCTTGGGGATGATGGGTTTGAGCATTTCCAGTCGCTTGATAGTTTCAGGAAAGCATCCTTTATATTGGGTAGTGAGCTGTGGGAGGATAAATTTGGTTCTTTGCTTCGCCTTGTTAAAGGTTTTATTTCGGATGTTTGGGAGCTAAGAAAGGTTAGGTTATATGGCGATAATCCCAGCGTACAACAGACCCAGTCTCAGATTGCGTCTGGGGAGCTGCAGGGTGTCACTGGTGGAAGGGGTGAGTTGAGGTGTCTGGGAGGTGAGACAGACACCGCATGTTCATATGGTGTATGTTCGTGTGTTAACGGTTCCGCCCATTGCTCTGGGTGCGTGGTCTATGGCTCTAGTGCTATGGCAGCCACCTGAGTATTATTATTATTACTAGCTACCTGCCAAAGCGCTAACAAATGTTCCTCGTGTTTTTTTCGAAGCGTATAATTTCGAGGCTGGTGCAACGCCCCATGTCCGGAGTTACCCCCATTTACCTTATATCTTTGTTGACTGACGCGAGAGTCGATACACGCCATTGGTTGTGACTTCTTGTGCCTTCAAGATAGACAGAGCAAGCGGACCCGGTCGACTGTGCTAAATATAAGCGCATGCGCATTATCCGCCAGCGATAAAATGGGCATTAGCTGGAAGCGCTCTAGCTCTGCAACGGAGCATTTTCAGAGAAAACCCCACATATTTTCTGACCTTCGTCGCCCATTGGGGAGACGGTATCGTTTCTGGGACGAACAGACATTCGAGAGGTGAGATGTAGAGTAACAGACACACAGACAGACCCAACCCTCGCTGCGCATGTCATATTTTGCTATAGATATTTTGAGCTAAGACAAATGTTTAAAAGCCAACTTTTTTGAGAGAGCACAGTAGTAATAACATGTGTATTTTCATTGTAAGCATTAAAGCTAACCATCACACAACAAACATTATGTTCAAACAGACACTTATCAGACATGAGAGTGTGTTTTATTCCACACGCCACAGGTTGGTAAGGGGTTATGGACATTCTGAGCAAACAACAAACATTATTGGTAGGACTTTCTTAAGAGCTATGTACCCAACCTGGTTATGATCTTGTGCCTTGAAGTTTACCAATGCACACTTATGCAGTTTACTTAGAGTTAGTATTATACAGTCACTAATACCACTTGCAGAAGCATAAAAGAAATACTGTGAGGTTCAAACGTTAGCAGCAAGTCTTCAGGGAGAGAGAATAGTTGCTGCAATAATGCAGATACTAAATGTGAGTTCTAATGATAAAGTCCAGGTAACATCATCAGACTTGCTTTCTATTCAGTTGTGTGTGTTGGTGTCTCTAACACTCAGTGTATCCGTGGCTGAAGTAAACTCAGGTAAAATATTGTTAATGTGTGATGCTGCTGTGCAAAGAAACACCCGAGGTAAGGCTAGTAATCTGGCTAACAAAATTTGATCACGTTTGGTAAAATAATATATTGAAGGCCCTGCGTGCCATGGCATTTTGCAAAATATTTGCTGCCAGAGCTATGATGTACTCTAAGTCCCATGTCACATTATACTTCTGGTGATAATGTAGGCCTTGTAACCTAATCTGCCCCAGGCCAAGGAATTAGACTATAAGCTCTCCTTGTTCCATGGCTCACTCTACATTTTCACAACAGCTCGCGTTGAATTTGGCAGACCTGGTAAAAAAGACACACCTTTTCCAGAACTTCCTCCTATAACAAATGCTGCTACAACAGGATTGTCCACATCACAAACTGTTCCAACAGGTTTTAGTACAACATCTTCAACAGAGGACCCATGTTTACCCATCTACATTGAATGCGATCGTCCTTTTACAAGAGTTCGTCCAACATTGCCATCTATACCATGCTATCGCTTACCTAGTGGCTGCATAACATCCAGTCCTCCAACAACACATCCTCCAACAACACGTCCTCCAACAACAAGACCAACAACACACCCTCCAACAACAAGTCCTCCAACAACAAGACCTCTAACAATACGTCCTCCAACAACAAGACCTCCAACAACACATCTTCCAACAACAAGACCTCCAACAACACACCCTCCAACAACAAGACCTCCAACAACAAGACCTCCAACAACAAGTCCTCCAACAACAAGACCTCCAACAACAAGGCCAACAACACACCCTCCAACAACAAGTCCTCCAACAACACATCCTCCAACAACAAGACCTCCAACAACACACCCTCCAACAACAAGACCTCCAACAACAAGACCTCCAACAACACGTCCTCCAACAACAAGACCTCCAACAACAAGACCTCCAACAACACGTCCTCTAACAACAAGACCTCCAACAACACGTCCTCCTACAGCACGACCTCCAACAACAAGACCTCCAACAACAAGACCTCCAACAACACGTCCTCTAACAACAAGACCTCCAACAACACGTCCTCCTACAGCACGACCTCCAACAACAAGACCTCCAACAACAAGACCTCCAACAACACGTCCTCCAACAACAAGACCTCCAACAACAAGACCTCCAACAACACGTCCTCTAACAACAAGACCTCCAACAACACGTCCTCCTACAGCACGACCTCCAACAACAAGACCTCCTTCAAGTTCCACTACTACACATCCACCAAATCCCGAAGCACATTCTCCCACAACAGTTCAATTCCCTGTAGGCCTCACAGATACGGACATAACAGTTGTTGGTCTGGTCATATTCCTGCGTGTGAATGTGATGAGGGACATCATGTAACCACTGATGATGATGGAAGAGAAATATGCCAAGGTTAGCAGGTAGAAATTACTATAGAAACCTTACCCAGAGAAAGTTTATGCATCATTTTCCATCACACACATAGGGATAATCTACACTTCAAGTAACCTGGTTTGACCAACAGTGTTTGCCAATTTATAATTTGTTGTTTCATTGTTCCATGCTTCACATAATTAGCTAAACATCCCCATTCATGTCTTATAAATCTCCCTTTGTTCACCCACCTCAGATGACAACCTAATGATACCTCTAGCAACTGCCTCAGGAACTCTCCTCCTATTCCTTGCCATCGCCACCATAGTCATCCTAGCCACATTTCTGCATAGGGTGTCCGCGAGGAAACGTAAACGCTCAGCAGATCCATCTGCAATGTATGATAAACCTTGGGTACGAAAAAAGCAGATTCTCAAAGGGCTTTCGAACAATGTTAAACAAAGCAAAGACACAGAGAACAAAAGCAGGGAGGACGAATATGATAAGCTTAATTTTTCAAAACAACAACATGGGACCAAACAGCAGGGAGAATGCGTTATAAGTATGGCAGCTCAAATCCCAAAGATGAAAAAGGGGCAAGAGCACAAGAAAATAAAACAATGTTGCACTGGAGGAGACGAAACTTCAAGAAAAGTGGAAGCAGAGCTGCTTGGAAATGGAGAAGGTTTGTATGATTGCAAAGTTTCCATGAGCAACCGCAAAATGAAGAAGCAAATGAATGCTGGGGATATGAAAGGGACATACGATGTTGTTGTGAGCCAATTGGCCACTAGAAAGGGTCCAAAGGCAGTAGTCCCACAAGTTGAAGCATATGCCATGTGTACAGTGTCAGCGCCTATGGTGGCACACGTTGAAGCATATGCTGTGTCTATGTTGCCTGCCCTCCTTTCCAGAAACACAACTGTTTCAATGAAAAACGAGATGAATAAACGTGCAAGTGAAGATCATGCATATGACCTTGTCAAATGAATGGATCAACACCATACCTCATATATACTTTGGATTGCAGATGAACTGTAGATAGATATGTAGCTTTAGAGCCCGTTTTGGAGCATGTGTTTTGTAGTATGACTGATGGTTTGTTTTCTATCGCTATCATAATTTGTGTAATTGATTTTAATTATATCAAGGTGGGCACTATTAATGCTTCAGCGTTATCATAGTGTGAACTAGAGAGTGTTCTACGAAACTGCTATGCCTGCACGAGCTGTTTCATGCCTAGATGTACAACAAGGGGGCACGTCGGACTCTTGAGTATAATTATAGTGTGCCGTAAATAGATTTCACATCGATTCCTGGCAAATGCGACTGTTTCTGAGACAATGGTTGGTTTGTATACATTAAAATGTGATGTAGTAATTTGGCCTGTAAGGTGCCATTCGGATGTTTTTCAACCAGATACATACGTAATACATGCATACCATACATGTAACAATAGACCATGTGATGCCAAGATGCACATGCATACACGCGCAGGGTAGCTATACTCAACGCTACAATAATATGAAAAGTCTCAGAGTGCGTCAAACCAGGAAGGTGGTTTGTGAGATTGCAGTCTTCAACTATTATAACTCACGCACAATCACGTATGCACTGCACTCAATAGGTATAGAAGGTTAGTAAGATTCTGCACAGAAAAATGTAGCTATTAACCTCAATACAGCAAATATTATACCTCATGAACAATCATGTATACACTGCACTCAATAGGCATAGAAGGTAGTAAGATTCCGCACAGGAAAATGTATTAACCTCACAGCTTAAGAAAATTCTATCAGCTCCTCTGGCTTACAATTCAGTCCTAATAGAAAGCACATTTACTCTGGCTTTACCAATGATTCTGTGTCTGGCCACTTTATATGTTTGTTGAAGTAGCTAAAGGGGCCAATGCATGGATATGTGCAGCTCAGCACATCATGAGAAAGTAAATTGTGTGCATACACATTATAGCTAAACGGATATTGTGAGTAACTGACTCAGTAAATAATACAAACATTACTTACATGTTCACATAACAATCACATGCAGGATTACTTAACAGCTTAACAGAGAAGTTGTTTTAACCACATGGCTTCAAGCCCCCACTCTGGGTTGTTTGATTTTGAAGACACAGCACAATCACATTTATTGGATAGAGCATGTTGTTGTAACTATGCTATTGCTAGATGGTTGTGAAGTATGAACTGTTCGTGTGTTTAAAGCAGTTTGTGGTCTGATCAGTGTAGTGTGTGCACAGACAGGTACATCATCACATTGTGTATATACTAGCGTGGACTTCTTAACAAGTGTGATTGTGAAAAATTAGATAACCCCAGGGGACCAAACTACACTTAGATATCTCCAGGGCACACAACTACGCTTAGATATCTCGAAGGCACCCAACTACACTTAGATATCTCCAGGGTACCCAACTACACTTAGATATCTCCATGGCACCCAACTACACTCAGATATCCCCAGGGCACCCAACTACCCTTTATGCCTGGTACAACATATAGAAGTTGTAAAATATGAAAAGAAGAAGAAACACTTGACCTGCACAATGTATAAAAGGCAGCTATTCAGTCTGTAAGGGATTTAGCCAGTGCAATATATGGTGTTTGCAAATTTCCCTGCTGCTTCTGTTGTTTCAGACATTGGGGGTATGCATGCTAAGCATGGCAGTGGTCAACTCGAGAGATTGTTTTAAGCACTTTGTTGATGGTCATCATGGCATCAAAGAATTTACAAAGGGTCGGGATTTGATTGAGATGGATGAACATGAACAAACAACCATTCCGACAGAAAGCAGAAAAGTTCCAAAGTTCTGAGGTGGTAGCTATGTACAACAGCCTTAAACAAACAGAACGCGGTACATATAAATTCTTTGGTCAGTGACACTAGCTACATCAAAAGAACTTACAGAGAGTCTCTTTTCACGTATTGCTCCAAGGATGAATATGATAATTGTGAGTAATTATGTTCCTTGTTCTAACTGGTGATCAAGCTCTAACTTTCTCCAGATATATCTTGTGGTGACATCTGGCTCGTTCTTTACAGTTGCAATTGGTATGTTGAGGCAGCATACTGTCGATTTTGGCTATTGCTCAATGCTACAATAATTATGTGTCCACAGTTTCCATTATCTTTGTACATGGACGGAATAAATAATATCCCAGAGTTAAAAAACAGCCCCAATTAGTTTATTTGATGAATGCTGGTAGCTAAAGCTGTGAAGATATTCCCTGTGACATAGCTACAGTCCTTCTACCAGTGCTCTCCTACCACAAAAAGCACCAGTTGTTAATTATCCCTCTTTCTTGCTCAGTTTTAAAGGGGCTTAAATATTACTCAATACTTTCCCTCCCAAACTAGTACCGCCACAACCTCCATCACAATTTCAACGATGTCGATATGAGTGCGATGGGTCCACACTTCCAACTACTTCTACATTAAATCCTCCAACAACACGTCCTCCACCAACAAGACCACCAACAACACATCCTCCAACAACAAGACCTCCAACAACACATCCTCCAACAACAAAACCTCAAACAACAAGACCAACAACACATCCTCCAACAACAAGACCTCAAACAACAAGACCAACAACACATCCTCCAACAACAAGACCTCCAACAACACATCCTCCAACAACAAGACCTCCAACAACACACCCTCCAACAACAAGACCTCCAACAACAAGACCTCCAACAACACGTCCTCCTACAACACGTCCTCCAACAACAAGACCTCCAACAACAAGACCTCCAACAACGCGTCCTCCAACAACAAGACCTCCAACAACACACCCTCCAACAACAAGACCACCAACAACAAGCCCTCCAACAACACACCTTCCAACAACAAGACCTCCAACAACACGTCCTCCAACAACAAGACCTCCAACAACACATCCTCCAACAACAAGACCTCCAACAACAAGACCAACAACACATCCTCCAACAACAAGACCTCCAACAACACGTCCTCTAGCAACAAGACCTCCAACAACACATCCTCCTACAACAAGACCTCCAACAACACACCCTCCAACAACAAGTCCTCCAACAACACGTCCTCCAACAATAAGACCTCCAACAACACATCCTCCAACAACAAGACCTCCAACAACACGTCCTCCAACAACAAGACCTCCAACAACAAGACCCCCAACAACACGTCCTCCAACAACAAGACCTCCAACAGCAAAACCTCCAACAACAAGACCTCCAACAACACGTCCTCCAACAACACATCCTCCAACAACACATCCTCTACCAACAACTCGACCTACAGCTCGACCACCTACCACCACATCCCAGACTGCTCGTCCACCTGCAACAACACCATTTCACAGCACCAAGCCCTGCTACTTCCCTTGCAACAACCCAGCCCACAAATCCCACTACCACTCACCCAATGACAAGAGCAATTTCCTCCAATACATACACTAACAACACAACTTGTAAAGGTTTGCCTCTAAACATGTTTGTGCTATTATATATAGTTACTGCTTCTTTGTTACAAAGATTGTACTGAATGTGAGGCTAAGAATGAGGGTTTAGTTCGCTATCCTACTACACTAGCTCCAACCAGTGGATCAGTGACTGTCACTACACAGTGTGCTGACAATGCTCACGTCATCAACTCTACTAGTCTGAATGTCACGTGTACCTCTAATGGTACCTGGGTTGGTCAAACTCCTCAGTGTCAATGTGATGATGGATGTCATGAAATTCGTGTTAATGGCACGCAGACATGTCAGGGTAAGCATAAAAGCACGGAAAAAACATTCGAGTTAAGAGAGAAAACACTCTTTTTTGTATTGAGAGTGTTTAAATGGGTATACGCAACCAGTCTAGCTAACGTATTCCCTTACCCTATATATATTATTTTAGATGAAAATACTCCTAGGCTCCATGATTTAGTGGAGCTACCAACACTGATTTCCACATCAGTAGTATCTCTGTTTCTCGTCATATTATCTCTTACTACCACAATTGTTGTAATTTGCCTGTGTCGAATGAAACGCAGCAAAAAGAAGCCAGAAGATGATGAACAAACTGGCAATGTACCTACGAAAGCGATTCCGTGCACTGTTCAGAATAAAATGGCGATTCCCGTGATGCCCAGCTGTGCGTATGCTTACAATGTGTCGAGACTCACCAAGGTCCCCGTGCACTCTAATGAGGCACATGCAGTGTTCAACGGAGTTAGACGTGAACATAAACTTACGGAAGATAGAAAAGATACAAGTAAACAGGGGAAGACACATACTGTACTTCCATATGCAGTTTTTGAAATTATACCTCTATCACCTGGAGTGAAGAAGCCGAAAGGTTTCGAACATGTTACTATGTACCCAACAAAAGATGTCCCAGTGTATCCGAATGAGGCATACTCCGTTTGCAAAGGAGTTACACGTCAATAACTGCTCTGAGCCACAAAGACTGTTGCCGTGATATTTTGTCACTGACGCTATGAGTGCATAGATTTTTTAACTGTATTGTGTATTGTCTATCTTTGTCCCCTTTTGCAACAACTTGTTTCAGTCAGTGTTTGTCTGCTATCGAAATGAAAAGCACTAAAGTGCAAACCCTCGGCGAACTGCGCATATATATATACGCGATACTGCGTCGCGAGTCTGACACGGGCTAGCTACAGTAATAGATAGCATGCGGGGGTCGATACATGCCATTCGTTGTGACTTTCTGAGCCCCAAAGGTACACAGAGCGAGCGGATCAGGTCGCGGTAAGCCCAGTACGATTATGAACATTGCGGACATACCTTGATCAATTTGTTGTCCATCGAGAACAAAGATCAACAATGACTAAGTAGAGAAACTGCTTTCTCGTCCAAGGTCAAGAGAACAGAGATCAACAATGACTGAGGAGAGAAACTCAAAAACCGCTTGCTCGTCCAAGGTCAACTAAAATAACCACGCGCTAGCAGATGCGCATGCTCCGGCAAACGACATACGCGCGTGCGCGATGGATCGCTCGCGTCTGAAGGCAAAACGATACCCACCCACATACGCGCGCGCGCGATGAATGGCTCGCGTAAGCTTTTTCGCTTGTTTTCACGCCATATCTCTGGAACGCAGTCGTTTCGGGAAATCCACATTAATATCAATCTTCTCGTCGCTCACAACCCGTTGGTGCCACTCATTGGCCGCCTCGTAGCCTAGTGCTAGAACTCGCGCGGACAGACGGACAGACAGACAGACCACGGTAACCCTCGCTGCGCATGCGCGCCGAGGGTGAATTATTGTCAGTTAGTTGAAGCAACGTGCTTCAGCTGATCATGGTTGCTGATCTGCATCTTGAGGGTTTTGTGGATAATGTTCTCGAAGATGGCATGATATCAGATTCTGCAAGTTCATACCTGGTCCAAGTCCCTATTTTGCCAAAGACCACTAAAAATCAGACTGAAGCTATCCTTCAGTTAATAATATTTAGAGTTATTCTCTTTATTGCTAGTTTGCATTCTTTAATATCCATGAATATTATTATGAACAATGAAAACGCCCACTAATTATTATGGAGTTGGATAGAAGAGGTTGCAATTGTTTGCCATAGTACACATTGTAATCCTTTAGCTGAAAAAACCATGTTCCTATTGTCGCTATATCACGCAGCAAGCAACATTGGCATTCAACTTCACCAATAATTTTATTCATTTCCGTCATCCCCCGATTTAGCTCCAGTGTCCGCCATTACTGCAGCGTCAAAACCCTCAGCAGATAGAGTTCGGATCAATGATGTTGTAAGACTGCATACTACTCTCACTGCTACTGGCCGTTGCCAAATCCAAGGGCAGGATCTGACTATCCAGGAAAGTACTAACGGCAGTGCTGTCGTGTCTGCCTGCCTCTCGAGACTACGGGAATCGGAAATATTTCCCAGTGATAACGAAATCCTGCGGAGGATTGCCTACGTAGAGACTGGCGATGGAAACAGCCCCGATACTGATCGCGCCAATTACCACGGCGGTATTTGGGCCTTGGACGAATATCTTTTTGACGAAACTCAAGATGTAGCTTCACACGAATCATCCCTGACTAGTCTCTATCAGGAGATCCAGACAAAGTTCTCTATAGACTGGTCTACGGTTGAGTGGTATGATTTACGAAAGCCTTTGTATTCTGCGCTCGCCGCACGTATCTACCTTTCTAATGTCTCCACGCCAATTCCTATTTCAAGCCTGATTCAGTCTCAGGCGACTTACTGGGTTACCTACTACAATCCGTTTGCGGCAGAATCAACTTTCGTGACGGTGGTTAATGACCTACTTGCAATTGAAGGTACGTTTGAAAAATTTCACCCATGCTCTTGACGTATTGTACCAAGAACAGCGTCCAAGGCGTTTTCGCATGCAGGGAACACAGCTCGAGACACGTCGCTCTACTTCGGGTGGGCTTGCGGATACACAGCTTCAGAGTATATAGCTATATCGCAAAGGACTACATATTCGAATGCCTAATTGACAACGCTAAGTGTGTTTATTGGACGTGAAAATCTCACGTGATCAACCCGGAAAAACCATAAATCGCCTTACGACTTCTCGACTTCCCGTCCATCGTGGCGTTTTACGCATGCACAGGCGAAACACCGCGGTACGCCGCGTGGAGCCTGAGAAAGAGGACGTTCATCAGCTGTATATACAGTGAAACCTCCGAAAGAGGACAACCTCCCTAGAGGAGACAAAAGGGTCGTCCCCATACTGTCCCTTCTTCGGAGGTTTCACTGTAGTTTTCTCGTTTATTATTACCGGTATCGTCTCCCTGCTAAGTCACATATTATTACCACGCTGAGCCAACGTTAGAAAACGCCAGAAAGTAACGTGTTTCCGCATTATTTTTTGGATGAGGCATTTCACTATTGATCTAGCTATCACACAGTATCTGCTAAAACCATTCTAACCTGCAGGGTGCTCTGTGAGTGGAATTGACATTTTCTTTGTGATGGACGAGTCAGGAAGTATCGGAGCATACAACTACGAACTCATGAAAAGGTTTGTCAACGACACTGTAAATGAATTTGATATTGGACCCGATGACACGCAAGTTGGTGTGATATCCTATGCCTCATATGCCAGATATCAGTTTTATCTCAATACATACCACGATAAGCCTTCTCTCCAAATGGGAGTACGGAATCTAGTATTTGCTGGTGGAGGCACATATACAGCAGGAGCTATAGATCTGCTCCGGGTGTCAGGGTTCACTTTGGCCAATGGAGGACGACCCGAGTCCCAAGCCATTCCTAGAGTGGGTGTTGTGATCACTGACGGGCGCTCTAACTATGATGCAACGGTCGCTGCAGCTCAAAATGCTCACAGTCAAGGTATAACACTCTTTGCTGTTGGAATTGGGAATGTCAACTACAATGAGCTACTGGGAATTGCCTCTGAGTCACAATACGTTTCTACCATTAACAATTTTGACTTGTCACAGTTTGAAGCTCTTCATACGACTATCACAAACGAGGCTTGTACGAGTAAGTTTCTTTTGGTTAATAGTTTCATAGCATCACTTTAAATCTCTACTGCAGCATCAGCTGAAGTTGATTTTAATGAGACAGTTAACAGTAGTGTTGGTGAAGACAAAATCACATACATAAAGATCCCATACAACCCACATCAAGGAGTGACCATTAAAGTGAATGTTACCAATGGGACTGTGAGAGTGTATGCATCTGGTCAGACAAGAACACCAAATGAGGCCTTCAATGACTGGATGATTGAGACAGACAGCTACTCTGACTACTATCTCGGCCCTGACGATTTCCGCAGGACAATTGGTGAAAATGTGTTCATTGCTATAGAAGGGGAGGACATTGAAAATGACTTCACCTTAGTTTCAGAGGAAGGAGATACCACTATAGGTAAGCCATAGTATGGCAAAATTGTAATGTACTGTTGATTGTAGAATAATATCAATGAGTAATTTTTTGTCTATATAATATATAGCTCCTGGTGCACCACTGGATGTGACCATTGGCACAGTTACTGCTACTACTGTCCAGGCGTCTTGGAGAGCACCTGCTAACTACGACTCAAATGGGATTATCAGATATGACATTGAGGTGACTGAGTACCAGTTTGGTCTGCCACCAGTGGAGGTCAACACAACCGATAGCTCGGTGATAGTCACTGGTCTGGAGCAACATAATACATTCAGTGTCAGAGTTGCCGCCGTAAGCAGCTCGCAAGTTGGAGTCTTTTCCCCACCCATCAATTTTACAACCTCGGAAGCAGGTACAAGTGTATACAGTACTGAGGAAGTCACCAGTACATACTCACCACATGGTACTAGATGTGTGTTCACTGTACAGCAGCCTTACAGTAACTGGATAAAGAAGGTTATAATGATGTTCTATCATCCTTTACAATGTGCGAGTTTATTAGTGCTACATTCACTATCTGTATTCTGACTTATCCTTCTACAGCTCCAGATGGACCTCCAGCACAAGTATCTGGAACAGCCATTAACTCAACTAGCATCACAGTCACCTGGCATCCTCCGGCCGTAATCAACCAAAATGGTGACATAGTGGAGTACATAGTAAAGGTAATAGAGACTGAAACAGGATTGATCTACAAATGGAATGTGACTGACACTTTTCTGACTGTGAGTATGCTGCATCCTTACTACCTGTATGCAATCTCTGTTGCCGCGGTAACTATTGGAAATGGACCATTCTCGGAAGAAGTCAATGTCATTACTGATGAAGCTGGTGAGATAATGGTACCAAAATAGTCAATTCTTATTGTTCTTTTCTACCTTCCCTAATCTCTTGTAGCTCCAACTGGAGCACCACAAAATTTTGCAGCTATTGTCAAGTCTCCGTTTGTGGCTGATCTGTTGTGGTATCCTCCACTGCCCAGCAAGCGAAATGGGATCATCATTAACTATGTCATCTACATCTCTGATGAAGAGAGTGGGTGCCAGTTTCAAGAATCTACTTCAAATACTTCAATTACCATCAATGAGAACCTTCATCCTTACCACACATACAAATGTGTGATAGCTGCTGAGACGTCTGTTGGTCTGGGGCCGTTTAGCTCAGCCATCTTTTTCACCACACATGAAGATGGTATGCTTACAATTATGGAATGGCATACACCTTACAGACTCGTGTGTGCTAGTAAAAGCCTTAGGTGACTCTGCCTTATCAATTGCTCACTATACCTTGACATCTAGCATATGGCATGAACTCCATAGTTACTGATCGTGTGTACAGAGAAATATTTGTAGTGTAATGAATTTCACACCAATCAAACATACTATATTGAATTCATAGTCACACATTTGATCACATGAACCCTTTTAAGCCACTGTTCAATGAATAATGAATAATGGGTAATTCCATGGGAAATACCAACAAATTTAGCATATTACCCTTAGCTACCCTCTTATACACAATTGCAGTTCCTAGCAAGCCAAACATCAGTGGTGTTTCAAGGATTAACGGAGAGCCACACAAGTTACTGGTTACTTGGAGTGCCCCAGAGACTCCAAATGGAGTCATCATTAACTACTACATCTACTGTAACAATTCTGACTCGGTTGAAACAACCACTGTTTGTGGATGTCAGCTTGCTGCTGTAGTGATGAACCTAATCCCTTTTACTTACTACGACTGCAAAGTTTCTGCAACAACCTCCGCTGGCGAGGGAGAGTCCAGCAGTAAGAAATCTGCTCAAACGGAGGAATCGGGTCAGTCAATAGCCATGTGCATAAACTTTATGCTTGCTACTGCAGCCAACTGCTTGTGTTACAATATCTGATATCACCTCTACAGAGCCTGGTGATGCCCCGACAAACTTTATATCCACCATCATCAATTCTACTGCCATAAAGCTGATGTGGAACGAACCTAGACAACCGAATGGTGTTCTAGTGTCCTACACCATTACATACAACACATCAGAAGACCTTGTTTCAAGAACAGAGGCTTTGGAATCAGTGGAGGTAGGAGGTCTAGAGGAGAACACCTGGTACAGGTTTGATATAGTGGCATCCACAAGGATCGGTAGTGGACCCTCTGCATCCCTCACTACAAGGACTGACATTTCAGGTGTAGTAGAAAAATATCATGAATGTTGTGTAACTCTCATTCTTACATAACAACTGCAGTTCCTCACTCACCACCTTCAAGCATCTCTGTTGAAGTTAGGAGCGGTACAGAAGTTACGCTATCGTGGCAGCCCCCACCATTTCAGGATCAAAATGGACCCATCACCTACTACTCCCTGATTGTCAGAGAGCTGGTCTTTGGTCTGGGTGAATCCCAGACTAATGTGACAACCCTCAGTTACACACTGACTGGTCTAGAGGAATACAACAACTACAGTTTCACTATAGCAGCGGCAACTGAAAAGGGTCTTGGGCCTTACAGTATGGTTTATAACTTCACTACAAAGGAGGATTGTGAGCCCAAACTCATAAGCAAATAATTATTTAGCTATCCAATTTCTACTTTTGTTTCTAGATCCTGCTTCTCCACCAGCTAACGTATCAGGATATGTTTCGTTTTCTTATCTTTTGGAACTCTCCTGGACTCCGCCTCCAGCCTTGGATCAAAATGGTGTCATTACCTCTTATGTAGTCAAAGTCCACGGAGTCGAGACGGATGCAGTGTGGACAATGATTGCAGTCAATGAGGACATTAGGATTGGGTCACTCAACTATTCCTATCGTTATAACTGCTCTGTTGCGGCCAGCACAAGTACTGGTGTCGGACCTTTCAGCCAAGCAATAACTCTGATGATAGATGAACCAGCAGGTTAGGTATACACCAGTATTCGCTCACTTACTATCCTCTATAAATCAGGTGGTGGCGGTGTTACCTCACAGCAGTCTAGAGTGTCAGGGGGTTACTTTGCTGCTGTCACCTTTGCCATTCTGGAAGGAATTGGTTTAGCCGCAATTACAATTGGCATCATTTACAAGAAATATTGCCATGGCAAGAGGGCATCTTTGTAAGATCTAGTGTTATTCTTGCACATTATTAAGAGTGTACTATGTAGTTTCATCAGCAAAGTTCCGTATCAGAGAATGTTGGATTATGTGGCTGGAAATTTCAAGCAGGTAAGAAACACATTTCATTATTACATTATTCCTTTCAAATTATTGTCCACTGTCAGAATACGTCTGAGATGGAGCGACAGATTATTGGTGAGAAATGACTGTATAATTGCTTTTTGGTATGTATAACTTTTTGGTTGTTACAGAAGAGCCAACAGCTGAGGAAAATCCAAGTACCACAGGAGTTTAAATATCTCAAACTCCGTCATTTTTATTATTAATCCATGTAGTATGTAGCTAGCCTGCTGTGTATATTGGATCGTCGGAATGCTTTTGCTATATATGTTGTTTAGAATATTTCTGCAGAACTAACCATTAAATTCCAGTTTAAAAGACAAATTAATTTTCGGTAGCTACCTCAGTTGCAAATTTTTACAATGTTTGGACTAGTAGACTATATACCAGCAGTGGAATTACCGGGCGGATGATATTATAGCTGCCAAACATCAGTGCTAGATAAGGCAGTTTAACCTTGCAGCTTGTCCCACTACCATCGTATCATTGATCAAGACAACTAGAAATTGCCGAGCGGGTCCGAACGGCGCGATTTTTATATACGTCGGACCGACCATTCAACTGCGCATGCGTCAGGATACGTTATCTACACGCTGTCTAGAGAACTATCGTCCATTCGACAGCATTCGCTGCACTCTTTGGTGCCTAATCGACTGAGGCTGCACCTCTTTCCAAACTTAGCGGTTCCAACAAGATTCAAGTTGTTATGTGCTCGCTCCCGCTCGCCAAAATGCCCTGTCTACAGCTTATCCTTAGCGCTGCACATTTTTGTCATTCTCCCCTTGCATAAACCTTTATTCTAAGAGCGTCTGGCTACAGCTAAAAAGCTGAGAAAGCAACTGACATTTGATTTGTGGACCTTCACTTCCTCCAACAAACCGTCTCGAAGACTTCCTGCCCTTATGCGTGCGCACGGAAAGGGATCAAATCCCAACGAACATGCGCAGTAGCGTAGTAAAACGTGAGCTATAAAATATAGAGTAACTCCTCATGTGACAGTTGTAGTATTTGCAGAACCATTTTAGGAAAAACCGCTACCCCTACTGTCACGCAAAGACGGGGTGTCGCTCAATCCAATTTGCGGAGCCCCCCTGACCGACGCAAAAAAAGAGATGACGGTAGGAAGAGAAGCGGTTATGTCTGTTTCTCTCTTTGGCGCAATATTGTTTCTTTCTGCTGTCCTACCTGCAACTCAACTAACTCCAGGTGAGTAAATGGGCTACTAGCTAGCTGTTAGGTAGCTAGTTTTCACCGCTATCTTTAGCTAGAGCTTACATATCTCGCATCAGTTTCTCTGACTGGTGCTAGCTCTTTGTCAGTTACAAAATCCTCCCAATTCTAGCTAGCCCTACACCCCTAACACTCAAGATGTTTTTTCTCCTCCCAGTGTTCTGGAGGTATGTCACAGCACCTTTGGGCTCAAATGTGACACTGGAGTGTGTTGTAAACCAGCCAGTACTTGCCTGGAGCATCAACAACTTGCAACTGCTGGACCAGACCTTTATCAATAACCTTCAAGAAAGCGGGTATTTGGTGGATATTAGTGCCACAGAGAGGGTTCCTGCAGGCAATAAAACTACCATAACCATCCCAGCCACTCTCTTGGTGAATGAAACTGTTGGTAATATCTCCTGTCACGCTGGACCAACTCCATTCCATTTGACCAGTGCAGAGATTTTCACTATAACTGTGTATGGTTAGTGGGTCAGTAAAGTATGTTTGGCTGAAGTGGCCAACTACAAAACATGTCGGGGGAAGTGTAGCTATTATGAATCTGCAGTGTTTGAATTCCAACGAGGGTCCATATAGCTAAGGTGGTTGTGCATGGTAAAGCGTGGATTGTTTGCTATAACCAATTCGGTGAACCCAGAGTCAATTGAGCCTTCATGAGGCAGACTGGAACTTGTCGTTTCTGTAGTCTCTCGCGTAGCTATAACCAGCAAAAATGAAATCGTAAAATGTAGACAACAGATAAACTTTCTTTACTCGAACAAATCTTGTAATGGTCCATTGAAAGATTTTCTTGGACTTAGTTGGGAAAATGGACCCCTTTCCCAAACAGGCTTATTGTTGCTTTGTTGGTGTTTGTATGAGTTTCTGTAGTTTCAACTTCGCTTTTATCTAGCTTACACATGCTGAAGCTGCATATAAAGTATTATTTCTGCAAGTAATGTTAACTCACATTCCCTATATATGGGACGCATTACTACCGGATAGCCATCTAAATAGTTAATAGGTAACTACCAGGACTCTGTCTACTACAATTATTGTAAGCTTCTCGTACAGTAGGAAGTTGCAGGGGTTCATGCAGTTTCATAATGCCTAGAACCCACTGCACTCAGCGAATCACAACCTGAAAACCAGGTTCTGGAAGGAGAGGGCCCTTTGGTACTATATAACCCTGTCATTTAACTAATATCTCACCAGGTCTCCCTCTAGCCCCTGGTGACTATAAGGTGTCAGGAGACGTCCCTCACCAGTTGAGACTCAGCTGGAGTCCTCCCTTCACTCTGCAAGGAGAGACAGTCTTCTACTCTCTGGTGGTCACAGACCTGGACACTGGCTCCAGACAGACCCTGGGTCCTCTCTCTGACACTGCCTACACCCACCAGGTGTCACAGGCCCAGGCTCTGAACTGTCACCTCTTTCTCTTCTCTGTCTTCTCTCTCAACAAAGTCGGTCTCTCCATCAACTCCTCATCTGCTCCTCCTGCCATCCATCCCTCTGGTATAATTATATAACCCTGATATCAGCCATTATAATGGATACTTACAATCTCTTCTATTATGGTAGCCCCAGGGCAACTGGAACCAATAAAAACTGAAGTTACTCACAATAACAACAACACTCCAGAGACAAGAGTTGTACTCACTCTAATATTAGAGGTTTGCCATATTGACTGTCTGGCTCATGTAGTTTACACACTATGTACTCTGCTCAGCAACCATTGTCTTGCTTCCCACAATACTACTCTGTATCGATTTCCAAATTTGTGGATGATGAGCTAACAGAGGTAGAGAGTGCACCTATTACGGTCACCTCAGTCAATGGCTCAGACATTATTGAGGTGGCAGGTCTGAGAGAGAACGCTCGCTACTCTGTTGTCCTCTCTGCCAGCAACCACTTCCAGTTCTCTATTGACAGCCCAGTGAGATCTGAGGAGATCTCATTTGGTGGGTGGAGCCATAGTGGGTGTGGTCTCACGTGAATCTCTGTCCATATAGTCACCTCGGGTCTCCAGTCAGTGGCAGTCTATTATTATGAGAATGGGACTGCGAGGATCACCTGCTCTTTTGCCTCTGGTTCTCTCTCCCCTGGTTGTCTTGTCTCTATGTCTCTTAATGGAAGTTCTGCCACTAATATCATTCAGACCACTAGGTATAATACATAGCTATTACTTGCAGTTAAACCTATTCTTTAATTTTAAGGAGTACAGAAGTTCTGGAGGTTGTACAATCCCTTTTCATTAAAGGACTTCCATCATTTGTGGAGGGCAGGGATTTGAACATGGACGATACATTGGTCATTCCTGGCTCTATTTCATCTGGTAAACCATCACTAAAGAGTTTATGCATGTATACTGGCCACGTTTATATTTACAGTTCCCCCAAAGGTTATGGGACTTATCGCAGACTTTAGTTGTGATTTGAACCAAAAGGATGATGTTGCGCTACAGATCAGCTGGGTGGTAAGGATGATAGACAATCCATTGCACCTTCAGTTCTCATCATTGTTTCCACTCAAAGTATGGAATGAGGCAGGAGGGAGTAGAGTATCCCGGGGAGACTAGAGTCAGACTGGAGCTGAGTCCCGGGGGCACTGTCTGTTCTGATGTGACGGCTGGTGATACCAGTTGTATTGTGCTCATCCCCAGAGGTGTCTATGACATCACTCTCACTCAGACCAATGACATCGGCTCTACTGTGGAGCATCTCGACACGGTTGACGGTAGGTCCACCTTGCTTCAGTCAACACTCTATAATCTCACGTGCTCCCTTCATGATGTAGTACGAGCATTGGTTGTTGATCAAGCATTTCTGAAATTGAACACACAACTGGTACTTATTGTGAATGTAAGAGCGAACGCTCGCTGTCCAGTGACAGCTGGGTCTCTGACGATGGTCACATTTGGTGCAACATCAGTGGCTGGTGGAGATTGCGACGGTCAATGGAATTCCACTGAAATGATCATTTCGTCAGGAGAATCTGTCTCTTTCTATGCGGACACTGACACCATCTCTTTGACATCTGATGAGACCTTTTGCTTTATTGTGAGTGTTGATAGAGTACCAGGTGAGTCAAAAGTGAAGTTGACAGCGTCATTAATATTAAATATTTTTGGAACAACAGCAAAGGACGATTTTCTATCCACCCCCACAAGAGACACTGAATGTGGGGACACCAATGTGTTTGTTGACGGAGCAGCTGGAGGTTTTACAGTGGCTGCTTCGGTGCTGGTGGTGCTATTGGTGGGTCTGCTTCTTGGCTGTAGCGGGATGTGGTTCCTAATGAGGCAAGGTAGTTGCTGCAAAAGAGGAATCTCTGTTGACCAACATGAGAAAGAGCTAGCCGCCATATATGATGAGCCAGCAGCAGTGGGAGGAGCTATTTGCATGTCGGAAAACCAGGCTTATGGCCAGGTTTCACTGTGCAATAGAAACTAAAAGCTATATGTATCAGGACATATAATATGGCTATAACTCATATCAGACAATGTTGTGTAACTCTGCAATACATAGAGCATAAGGCAGTTATTATTGTGTAGTTGTCCAGTGTTCGATCCCTTGATACTTAAGATATCACGACAAATAGATGATGCAAGAGCAAAGCTCTTTAGGCTTGTTGGCTTTCATCAGTTTAAAAAACGAGGTAGCAAGGCAAAGGCCGAGCAACATGTCAACTACCACAAGCCACTCTCCAGGAAATTCTAAAGGCTACCGCATATGTGCTAAGCCATCCACGCAGTCATTGCTATACTGGCATGTAGAGCATGGAAAAAGTAGCCTAAGAGTATTAGGTTGCTAGGTGATTGACATCGTTTGGGTGTTCTGCTTATTCCAATACTGACTTGAAGGTGGCACAGAATCAGTGATATCCATCCTCATGGATGGTTCTGATTATAGGCATCGACCACTGGTTTGGACAGAAAACAAGAATAGGGTTATAATACAACGCCTGGGTTGGTCACTAGGTCTTGGGTTTTAGCTCCGGTTCTTCCCTTCTTCACTCAGTCTAACCAACTTCGTAATGGGCAGTTGAATCTATACAATTGCATACTTAGTCCAAAAAAGCAGAAATTAAGCATTAGGTATCAACTGAGAGCAGATTATTCAAGACAGATTATGAGAAGCTAAAAGAGACATTCCAGTTGATAGGTCACAGCTCAAAGGTTAGAGGAAATGCCTATCATTGACGTTTAAACCAACAGTGCACTATGTCCTAGCTATACTGGTGCCCCCATAGCAGTGTGCATGAATGGAGAAATGACAGGGTACTAATAGGTAATCTGTGTATCATGCTCTCAACACGGCATCCCTGCTTTTTTGCCTTGCTTACTATGATAATGAGGTTCTGCTAAGAGATTTTTGCAAACCAATTCCTCAGGTGACTAGTATGACTGTTTTATAATATCCTCCTAGTTTAGTACAGATCAGAGTTATGCCGATTGTTAGAGTAATGCAACATTATTTCACACACACCCAAATATCTACATTTAGCTATAGCACAATGTGCTAGCTATTATTGTGGCTAAAAACATTTCCTAATATCCTTTGCAATGACTTATGATTGCAACCAGCTGTGTTTATACTGCACCACTAGCTAACACAGAGCATAGAGCTCCTGTATTGAAAGGGCAGCACAGTTCGGCACACATGCAAAGTTTAGCCTGCTGAGTGTATAGTGAATGGCATTCTGGAATTTTCTAAAGACATTCATAGCTACCATAAAAGGTAGAGATTGACTTAGTGCACCTACATGTGTACTGTAGTGTATAATGGAGAGTGTATTTAGAACACTCATGCAGCATCTAGAATGTTCAGGAAATCTAATGTTGCATACCTACCAACCTGCAGATGAACCTTTGCTTGAGAAATGTGCTTGATTTGTGTCATGATGATGTAACGTAATAACTTCCCTCCAATGGTTGTGGGTCTTATGATGCAATTAGGACATGTATGTAGGACATGTAGCACCAAGAATATTCAGGAAATCCAATACCGAATCATCCTAAATTCTTTGTCCTGCTGGAACTTTCCACTACATACAGATACTGGATACTGTTGTGCACTCAGTTGTGGAACGAAATGGTGCTCTTGTGCAGCACGAAGAGTTGAACACTCAACATTGTAGTGGGTCTCATCAGCTCTGTCGTACAAGAATCAATTAATTTTCAGCCAGCTGCTTGATACTGAAAAACTACACAGAGCTTAAATTTCTGTCTATGGTTATTATGGATAATTAGTGTTACCCATTGCAGAGATTTTCACCACTGCATTATTGGCACATTGAAGAATGGTGTGAGTGTAACATATCTGATCTATGGGACTTGTGTAGTGATGGTTCGTATGTGGTGTCGATCAGTTAGCCCTCCTGATCCGGTCAGCGAGGTGGACCCTCCCACCATGCCTTCTTAATCAAGCCAGTGTAGCACTGAACTCATTACTATTGTCCTTTGGCCGATTATTGCACGTGGTGGCAGAACGTGGTAACAGACAAGTGGTGGGTCCCTCCCATTCCCCAGCAGTCATGTCCCGCGGCAGCTCTGTGGGTTACTCTGGCGTGCTGAGCCTCAATGAGTGACAGCTGGGACACCATGTCGTCAAATTTGAGGTTGACACCAAATGACTTCCACTCGGTGGGGCCAGGGACTTGATGATCTCCAGTAATTATCTAGCCACACATTTTGTGTTGGTGCAGTCTAGTTCCATCAGGGAAATACCAGTCTCCACGATGAGCACCAGCTCTACTAGTACAACATGTGCTCAGGTCAGTGACACACTGAACACCTTCACCACCACCAATGTCAGGTCTCCCCACTAGACTGAGGTTCACATAGGAATGGTTGGCCAGAGTCTGGCCCACGAAGGAGACATAAGGGAAGGCATAGCGAAAGCTCTGTTGAGAGTGGGCCTTTTGCCATTATAAAGGCATGGGTGTGCATGGTGTTACTACTATAATTATACAAGTGGAAAAATCATTTCTTCAAAATGAAGGGGGATGTAGGGATGGCAACAAAAATCATACATCCATCCCTACATCTTTCTTTCTTTTGCTCTGTCTAAGAATGTGTAGCTAGGCACTCGTTATTGGGAGTAGGTATATTACAAAACACAGTTGAGGTTGGGAGTTAAAGAAAGATGTAGGGATGGAGT